ATAAAATTAGTTAAATTGGATTTGCTTTGAATTGAAGTACTTCTATGCAAGAAAGGTACTTTAAATAAAAGGTGTTCTCTCTTGGTTTTGAATTAAATATTATATATATTTTTTTCATTTTCATATTTATTTTTGTTATGTTGCATTTCTTAAGCTCCCTGACTATTGGTTTTCACTATCTGGTTTTTAACATAAAACACATATTTACATGGCCAATACAGATAGTTATTTAAATGAAGTTTCCCCGTGTGCGGTGAACCCAACCTCCTGTTGAAAAATTTTCCCATTTAGTGCAGCTGAACCTTACTCAATTTCGAGTAATCTTTGGCCTGGATATCCTGGATTCTATTTACTCTGTCCGCAACCGCAACCGAACCCTTCTCCCCGCCAGTTGGCCATTAAATGAGCTTTCGGTTACAGTTTTGGCAATTGCCTCGGGGGCGGAATGTCCTCATCATCGCCGGGCACCTGATCACTGGACATATGCTGGGACTTCTAATATTGTTATCTGCTCCCATTACAAACACACACACATGCACACACATGGGGAAACACCTTGATGTGAACTTTGACCGTTTTGGTAACTCATTTAGTTAGATTATTTACGGTAATCCAAGACGCCAGCCACAAGCCAACCGCCAACTTAACTGCAGACACTCTCCGGATGGCCAGGATGGCTCCTTTATTTTGCCGCTGCTGCTTCTGCTGCCCCTTCGGGGTAAACTACTTTCATGCCACCAGGATGAGTATCTACGGGCTAAATACATGCAAGTTGTTTTGCTAAATTGTGCGTAAGCTCAGGAGCATCCAGCAACAAGGATCTTCGGGAAAGTTTCTCAAGCTCTGCCATGCCAATTCAAATAACACTTTTATTTTGCTCTCAGTTGCCCCGCTCCCGTTGTTCCATCGCTACGGTCCTGTTTGGTACGTGTCTGCGGTGTTTGTATATGTTACACGACTGCCACGCCCCCGCCCCCGCCACCTTTCCGTGGGCTCACCTGTCGCACCTGCTCCACCCTTCCCCGATTTTTCTGCGCGGGGGAGCCTTATCCACACAGCATCATCCTTGGCTGCTGGCAGCTTGTGTGCGTGCGCTCATTAGCATTCTGAAACGGCTTTATAAAATTCAACAAGCAACCCAAGTTGCATGTTCTTTGGCCGGAGAAGGGGTTGCAGGAGGGGAGGGGGTGGATTACGGCCTCACCGCCACCCACTCTGCGGGATCCGCCACAAAACCCCCATTTCTTGTCGGATCCTGCATGTCTCTGCTGTTGCCCTTGCTGTTGCCTAGTTTCTCCTTCTTTGTCTAAGTTTAAGCACAGCGGAAAACTATCGGTCGAAATGTGTATTTATAAAATGTAAGATGTACCAAATCACCCCCAAATGGAGCCTAATAAACGACTTTAATAGAACATATAGTAAACTTCCTTGAAATTTAAGTTGTAAATCTATATTTTGGTAATTTTCTGTATAAGGGAAATTCAACTTTCTTTTATTATTTATAATGGTTCTAAGTGTCATTATAGTTTAGGGTCAATTTAAATGTTACACCTGACAATCAAAGTAGTTAAGCTTAACAAAATCAATGGATAAGGGTCAATAAACAGTTAAATCATTTTAAGCAACTTGCATTATAAAATCAAAATATAATGTAAATAAAAAGTATAATGGAAGATCGAAGAATACCTTGGTCAATTTTTGCCTGTGTATTTGTGTGTGCGTTTTTTCATTGTTGTTGCCTGCACACATTCTGTTGTTATCCTGAGCACTCCTTCCCCTTACCCCTCCCCCTTTCCCATCCCCCCTATTTCCCGTTATCTGTCTCGCTCTGCGGCTATCCTTTGCTCTGTCTTTCGTGCGGATGCCGGTCTGCCCCGAGTTGCATAAATTGAATCTGAATTTGTGAGTAAATTGCACACAGGAGACACATTATTTTTGAGTTTTGCCTTTTAAATTTGTGGCTTTTCACTTTGAGTTGCCACCCCCTTCCACCCCCCTGAACCCCCAAACGCTCCACCCCTCCGTTGAAGCTCCACAGAAATTGCAACAATCTCTGTCCTCAACTTTGTGGCACTCTCGCCCTCCGATTCGCTCGGCAATTTTGTGTGACCCACTTGAACATTGGATTGAAGTTACGCCTACCGAGGCACTCGAAGCAGCTCTCAGCCACCTCAGTGCCCCCATTGGCCACCCCTCCCACTCCCACCCACAAGAGAAGACCCCAAAGTCGCCCCCAAAGAACCCCCCAAATCACCCGTTTAAATCAATATTAATAGGTGCAGGCCTCTTTTTCGCAAATTGCACATTGCACAAATTGTTCGTCTATAAATACGATAAAATGTTTATTTAATATGTACCAGACCGTGCCAGCTGTACGAGAATCCAGAAAGCCAATGCCAGGACAACAGCAAATAATGACTTATCCATAGCACGTAGATGGGCAGGCAGCAGGCAGCAGGCAGCAGGAGCGAGGAAAACGGAAAATCAAAGACACACAGTCATAGTCACACAGGCCCGGCCAATCCTTTTCCATATGCAAATTGTTTTTATAAATTTGCAACAAGCAATTGTTTGTTACCATCGTTGTTGAATAGCAATTTGTTTGGCCAAATACCGATACAATGTCGGCAAAACAATGTCAAATGGGAAAGAAGGCAACAATTTAAGGGGATTATGAATTGCAGGGTAATCCCCTCAGAAAAAACTTTGATTTTCTCTCTCTCTCAAATTTAATACAAGCCGAAATTTAATCCTTGCTTATAAATAATTGCCCTTCGGTAAGCAATAAAATTTCAATGCAACAATTGCACGTCCGCATTATCTGTTTAACTTTCAATTACAAATGATTTAACTGACAAGTAAATTGTATGGAAAAACGCTAACAATAAAACTGTATATCAAAAGTGGGGCAGAAGGGTTGAGCACGGTTAACCAGATATGTAAATAGGGTAAGGGAAGTGGCAAGGGGTGAGTGGAAATTACTGAGAATTTCCAGGACACGCATGCACTATTCGAATCGAGTTAACTGGCTTGATATTTTAGGATCCGAGAGCATAGCATTTGCGAAGGCGATGGGCTAACATTTGTGGCTTTAATTTGGCAAATGCCTTTCAGCGTTTGCTTTGTATAATGCCATAATTAAGTTTATATTGAAATTATTACATATGAACAAATACAAAAAAGCTAACTTCTATCTGAGAAATTCACATTGCATTCATTTCTGGTTCGAAGCATTTGAGAGCAGCTAAACTAAAACTAGGAACTGAGTTTAGTATATATCCAGCTGCAAATTAATTGCTCCGCACTTGTTCCACCATTAATGACAGAGTGTTGCTTTTAGGTAGTAATTTATTTTAAGTATAGTACGTATATAGTTTCTATAAATTATCGCAAGGTCAGCGCAAAAAGGAAATTGCAAATGCAAAGGAAAATCATTTAAGGGCAACATATTCTCTTTAAAGCCCATTTCAGTTTTTCATGCTTAATATACACTTTATTTTAAATTGTATACATTTTAAATCTCAGTTTGATGTTGGCAAATGTGAAAAGGATACTTTTATATATTTCAATTATAAAATACCATATATTTAAACCATAAATTCAGTTATTTCAAACTATTATTATTTGTAACCTTATTATCCACAACTGATGAATATTTTTTCATAGCAAAATAGCATGTTGCTTTTTAATGATATAATATTTAAATTTTTAACTTGCTATGTGCCAGTAATTGAAGGCCACACAACTAATACATTCCACACTTGAGTTTTTAATATTGATTTCCATACTCGTATCTCTGCACTTTCAAATTCAGCTCAGTCATTCGAGTCGAGTAATCATTCCTGCATTAAACATTTCTATCTTGACCGTGACACACCTGAAACCGACGATATGTGTATGCAGCGAGGGTTGTTTAGCTTTCAGTTGCCGCCAGTTGACCATTGGGAGCTGGAAATGTTGGCTGGGCTTCCGTTTCTGGGCCACACGGAGTGGAATCAGGACCGTAACAATTGCCACAATTGCAATAGAATCGTCGTTAATTACTGTCTGTGCTTGCGGTTCTCGTTGGGCTCGGATTGAGTGGGTTGCTGATGGGTGGTGCAGGGTGCTACAGGGTGGGTTATGGGTGGTGTTTCGCCAGTGGTGGGCTTAAAAGAGCAAGACAAATACGAGCATGTGTCTGGGCCCGACTGAAAGAAGTTGTGAGTTGCGTTGCGAGGAGGCGAAGCATCGTTAAGCGTTGCTGCCAAGTGGCAAAACTCAAATAAACATAAACGTGCACACACAGAGGCGCCGCTTTCCAGAAGAGATGAGGGGTGACGAGGGGGTTAAAGGGGGGCAGGGGGTTCAAAGGGGGCTCTGCCACAGCCCAAAATCTCTGAGCTGGTTTGTGTTGTCTTTGGCTGTCTCGTTTCGTTTCGTTTCGTTTCGTTCGGTTGCCTTGGCATGGGAGACTCATTAAAATGCAGTGCGAGATAATAAGCATTTTAATTAAATATTTAACAAGAATAAGTTTATCACAACACGAACGAAGGGAACAGAAAGAGAGGGCAATAGCGTTGGCCAGAAAGAGACGGCGATGGCGTGTAATGGCTTGTAAGCGTCTGCCTTCGAACAGTTCGGAAAAGGGGCATTTGTGGATGGAGTGGAAATGGAAATGGAGCTGGGGAGCTGGAGAGCTGGGAAACCGGGGAACTGGGGCCTTAGACTGCTCATTTGCCCCCCGCTTTCCCCGCTCTCTCCGCTTTTCTGGCAATATTTTGATGTAATTTGAGCGCCTAATTGGCGCACGTGCTAAACTGACGATGGCAGGTTCAACTTTTCCGGGGCCAGGGCTCCGGTTTCCCTACTCCTTCCGCATTCTGCTCCTCTTTTGCTCCTCCTGTGCTTTTTTGGTCCTCGGTTCAGGTTCAGTTACTTGGCTCCTGGCTGGGGTAAATATTTGCAGAACTTCTCGCTAACCGTCTCCTGTTTACATCTCCTTCCAAATCTACTTGCAGAGGCTTCGGCTTTGTCACATTCAGCGATCCAAATAGCGTAGATAAGGTACTCACCCAAGGCACACACGAGCTGGATGGCAAAAAGGTAAATGTTACACACGAACTCTTCGCTTTTTTCGCCCCTTTTCCTCGTTACCCATTTCCCATTTTCCATTTCCCATTTCCCAAACAGAAAACTCCACTTTAACTATGCTAAATATTTGCCCAAAAGCATCATATCCCCAATATCTCCCCTCCCCTTTATTGACAGCAATTAGAAAGTCAAAGCATAACAGTGCAGCTAAAAAAGGCATACAAAACTTTTCAAAAACACCAAAAAAAAAGCAATGAGGGTCGAAACGCCAAACAATTTTTAATTAGCTGATATGACAAGCGCGATGAACATCAAATGAGCTGCAATTTTTTCCAGCTGCCTTTTGTTCAAATATCGCTTTTAATGACGTTCAACAAAGTCGATATTTAGAATTTGTATTTTGATTTTTAAAATATGCTAATAAAACACAAATAAGATAAATCCTTTTTTTTTATTTTTTCAAATAGTCATAGAGTAGACGTTTTATTTAAAAATTGTAACGTAACAATATTGAAAATTATTTATATAATTTTGCAACTTTGTGCAAAGTAAAATCATCATGCTAACAAGTCAAATGTACTCTTAACAATTATCTATAAAAAGTTATCTATAAAGTATTTTATTATCTAGTGCACACTTTCCAATCCACGTTATTAGTCAATTTTCCGCCAAGATGTCGTATCGCCATTTTATCCATTTAATTAATCAGCTTCGGCAAGCGCTGTTCATTCCCCTGCATAAATACATTTCCGAAAGCGGCTTCCTTCCGCAGTTTGTATAGGTGGAAATCGCATTTGATTAGCTCTCGACTGAGTACAGTGGACACCCCGTAATGATATACCGCACGCATTACGCATACGCCGCATTGGCATTAGCCTAATTGACTGAAGCTGGACTGTTTTGACCAGTCCGTCGGTCCGGCGGTCCAAAGTACGTCCGATCATCCTTTTATGCTTGCCAACTGTAAATAAAATGCGCAGCCAGCATTTATGTGGAATTTTTTTGAGCCGGTACCGCCAACGTTTTTGTTTTGTTTGCTCCGCCAGTGCATTTATATGCGAGGACGTGTAGTGTTTGTATCTATATGGCCACTATATACACGTCTTCCTGACTTTCGGCTGGTCAGGGATTTTCGTGTTTCCGTTTGGCTGCACAGCGACGCAAAACGAAACGAATTCATTTCATTTCGTTACGGTTTTTCGGCCTGATGTATTTCAAAAAGCCAAAAGCATCGACATCCTCCAAACCGTTCGCCAATTCGCTCGTTCGTTGGTCGCTCGGCACTCAGCGCTGATTAGTTTTAATTTTAATCTAAAAATCAATTTCCCGCCGTGCGGCTTCTCTTGTTTTTCGTCCTGCACACAGGAAATCAACACGGCAAACGGCGCAAAACAACAAAAACAACATTGAAAACAACAACCAGCCGCATGTCCTGCCTATCCTGTGACAGATTTTCCGTACCTATATATGTGCGAATTATTATCGCCAGAGGATATTGCGTTGCTTCCTTGCTCCTTCATTGGCTTAAGATACCCGGATAAATGCAACAGCAGCACTTCAGCTGCCAGGATTTAGTGCCAGCACCCTCGCTCCCTGATTTTTTTTTTTTATTTCAGCTGTCAAGTCGAGCTGTGTCCTTGCACTAATATGAAAAAGCCACAGACCGACCGGCAGGAACCGGCAGGAGCAGGAAAATCAGGGAAAGCGTGGGCGAAAGCTGCAAGATAGACCAGGCAAAAAATGCTTAAAATTGAATTTTTATGATTTTTAATTATTTTTAATGACGCTGCTTATTGGGTAGAAGCTGCTCGCCTTTTTTCTCCTTACGCCCGCTGGCCGAGCAATTTGTTACGCGTTAATTCGTGCGTGCTCAGCTTGAAGTCACCCACTAGCACCAGACACCACCCATCCACAACACCACCACCGCTACACCACCCAACCACCCAACCCACCCCCCTTGGGGCAATTTCATTTAATGTGCAGTGCAGGCTTATGCAAGATTTATGCGCAGCTATTAATATGAAGAGTTGTGCGAAATGTTCTTTTCATTTAAATGTCATTAAGCATACGATTTCCTTCGGATCTTCCATCGACTGATGCTATGTTTTCTCTCTTTTTCTTTCTCTCTCTCTCCGTCTCGCTCTCGCCCGCAGGTCGATCCCAAAGTAGCTTTTCCGCGCCGTGCACATCCAAAGGTAAGTCCCAGAGAAAAACCAAAAATATTGCTTCGTACATAAAGTAAGAAAATAAGCCAACCAGTACAAAAAATACTTTGAAGAGGATGACTAGGTTGGAAAAACCAAGCTGAAAATGTACTCTGTTGCAATTAATATTGCGGAATATAATAAATAATATATTAATAACTATCTTTATATTTGTAAGAAACACTTGATCTTTGCCTAAACTTTAATTATTCAACATTTTTTTGTTTTTATGTTTAAAGTTGTATATTAACACTTTTAACTGAAACTTTGTCAATGCTTATTATGTTATGTATTTTATTGGCAAGGTAATTAGGTATTAATTTAAATTGGCTATTCTGTGAAGGTTTTCTGCATATGTCTTTATCGAAGTATCTCATTCAAAAGGGTATAAAAATACCAAGAAAAAATCAGCAAGCCTGCGAAAAAAAACAAGAAAAAGTACCGAAAAATATCCTCGCTTTTTCGTGGTTTTCGCTGTGTGTGGTTCGAGGTGGGCTGGCAAAAGGATGTGTCATAAGTAGCAGTAAATGGCAGATGAAATTAAAAACGGAAGATGACAACAACAACAAGCCGAGCTGCCAAGACTGGGCGAAGATAACTTTGTGTCTGACAGGCGTCGGTTGCTTTGGTTGCTGCCTCCACCCACCAAACACCACCCACCGCCCACTTGAGCCACCCGCAATGCCACCTTAACACCAGCAACTCTTAAAGTGATGATGACAACAAAATTTCGGCAAAAGGCAAAGGCATAAGGGGAGCCACTGCGAAATGCTGCTGTCTGCAGCCATCGCATCCACCGCCACCTCCTCCCCTCTATTTCCCCCGCCGATTTCCCCTCTCTTTCGCCACTTGCCACACGCACATTTTCTACCGGTTAGACAGCGCGTTACAAATGTGCCTCTGTTTTTTCTGTTTTTGGGTTTTTTCTGTCCCCGTTTATGCTGGTATACTCTTTATGCAGCCAGAAATCTATTCGAATTTCTTGAGAGTTGATCGAAAAGGAAATGCGGAACGCAATGCTTATGTTTAATACCTTATGAGCAACTATTTTGATCCAATCTATTGAATCAATGGAATGGATTGTTATTACTAGTATACGTGAATTGTTTATTAAATTAAAGGTGAATAAGCTAAGCTTAAATAGTGAGGATTTTATATTATATATTATTTACCTAAAACCAAACGACTTCTTCAAGCAAATAAATTTAATGCTATAAAATTTCTATATATTTTACATCTTATGAAGTGCACAAAAATAATTGATGAATTATGTTTTTAATCCCTTTTCCCAGTTAATTTGTATATTGAAAGGTTCTCAAATAAAGAGAAAGAGATTCTTGATTAGTTCTAGAACTAAAAGCCCTAATAACAAATTAAGTGAAATACAACTAATGAGTTTATGTAATATTTTATATAATTTTGTAGCTTGTCGGCACTTATGAAGACACCCAAATATTTTTGGTGGAGTGCTGACAATTTATCGTCTGTAAAATGTTTAGAATTTCATATTTTTATCCTCCCAACAGACCCAGTATATATACCTATTCGACTAGCCTAGTTGGGTAATTTTTCCCGATTCGGCTAAACGACAAACCGCAAAGCACACCAAAAATACGCACGCAAATGGCACCCACACTCACACACACATACTGTTTCAAAGTAGACCCTCACACACACACACACACGTAAGACAAGGAAACGCAGTCGAAGGCAGCGCCTCCTGTTTCCTGCCCCCTTCTCCCCCTGCTCCTCTTCTAGATTCCTCGCCTGGCGGCAACTCTCCTTGGAGCTATATGCGTGCTTATCAACACGCAGCTGATTTCCGTTGCCATTCCAGAGGCGCGTGCTTCCCGAACACTGCCCCACCCCCTCGGAATTACCACCCAAGCACCACCCACCACCCGCCCCCTCGAGCAGCAGCCAACAATTATTTACGTAATGTTATTATTATAATATTTTTTTAAACGCATTCTCACTGGATTTGCGCGGCGTTACCAAGAAGTAGACAGCCACAAGGAAGAAGCCAAAAAGGATGTTTGAGGGCTGGTGGTTTAAGGTTTTTAAGAAGAAAAGAGGCTAAAAGGGGGCGGGGCAGGGAGAGGAGGGAAGAAGGAGGTGGGGTTGCGTGGCTAGGACTTTGGCTATGCGGCATTTGCGAGTGGCTTTGTGTTTTGCTGGGGATCTGCTGCTACGCGCGAATATCCTCTCGCATATTAAAAGGCGTTTAAAAACATAAATCCAACGTCTAACGGCTGCTTATGAAAATTACGAGGAAAAAATGACTGACAGAGCGGGACGGCAAATGGGGTATAGAAAGAGATGGCAGCAGGCTTAGTGCGAGGCAAATGGCAGGGACACCCAAAGGAGTTTTCCTACGCAGTACGACAAAAAAACGAGGAGCTATCTGTGGGGCAAAAAAACTTGCAGGCGACATCAAAAGCAACAAAAAAATGGGAGAAACCCCCCGAAAAAAGAATGGGGGTGGGGAAAAGGAGAAGGAAGGAAGAGGCTGAATGATAGGGAGGACAATTTCTCGCACCGTTTGCCAGGACCAAAAACGAGGAGCTGGCAGGAGAAGGAAGGATTGCCCCACAAAATGCGGCCCAAAATGCTTGCGGTTGCAGCGAAAGTTAAGAGTTTTAAAAAAGGAGCATAGACGTAGGCAGTTGGGGGGATTTTCTGAATCTGGGTGGGGGAACCTAACGGTGGGGAACGGGAAGAAACATAATGAAATGAAGCATACTAAATGACGCTGCTAAGTTTTCGCTGGGACTCACAAATACACCCAAGGATAGACACTCAGAGAAAAGCCAGCTACTTCGAATTAAAATTAATTGGCTCTGCTCCAGAATAAACTGTTAAAAATATTTCTTTAGAAATACAGAGTTCATATGAGAAGTAAAAAATAAATAATTCAATTTAATATGAATTAAATGAACTAATGAAATTATAAATTTAAATACATATGTATATATGATATAAAAACATACATTTACTTTACTTTTTACAATAAACCAGAAAGAGCCTATTTGAACTTTCAGTTTAACAGGGGGTTGTTTCAAAAGCGTTTACTTCTGCTGTATTTTTTTGATATTTTAAAATATTAACTATAGGAGGCCTTTAATAATATTCCTCTCAGTGTACCGCCACACACACGCATAGAGTGCCATAATGAAATGCGAAAAAATGATGATGATATTTTTGGACCATAAAATGCAGATGAGCCGACTAAGCAGAAAATAGTGTGGCAGCCGGAGAAAAGGGGACTTTTCCGCAAGGGAGGAAAAGTGGGGGAGGGAAGGGAGGTGCTAAGTAGGCCTCCACTTACTCCGCATTGCCAACTTTCACCCCCCAACCGCAGCACTTTCTCTTCAGCTTTTTTACACATGTCGCACAAACTCTTCCCCCAACTTTAGCAGGAGTTAATTTCTTCGCTTTTTGAGCGCCCCTCCCCGTCATGAATATGAAATGTATATTTGTGTTAGTTATATTTTTGGGGCGACTGTGAAGAATAGGACGTTGGGGGGACAGAGGGGGAGTGGCATACATATGTCATGTAAAAAAGTTCGCTTTTAATGTGCAAAATGGCTGGCGGACTAGGGCCATAAAAGTGCACGGGAATAAGTGAAATGGATTTTTGGGCTACGCTGTCCTGTCCCATATAAGTGCGCCATAAAAAAATGAATTTCCAGAACGGTCCGGGGCAGCAGATATAGTTTGAACTTGGCTAGGATTTATGGCTGTTTGTTCGGAACAAAAGAAAAGCGGAATCTCTTGCCTTTTTCCTCCCAAGTGCGTGTGTGCAAAAAATATCCCGAAATCGTTGAGTTGGGTAAATCCTTTAATGTTGAGTTGAGGTGCGTACACGAACAGGTCGTATAAGTGGATTATATGCACAGATCGGATTTCGGGGTTCGACGCTGCTTAGATTAAGTTATTTTATCAACCTGAACCCCATAGTTATGGACCAAATAATAGCTTAAGATATCCGGAGAAAATCTCTTTCCCATAAAATAAATTTATTCGGGTTTGCAATGTGGCTACTGTTAGTGAGGTAATATAATATACTTTATATCAACCTGGCTTTAAAATTAGCAAAGCCTGATCAATATTTTTGAAAGTTAACAAAATCAGGAGTTACAGGTATTATCTTTTACAATATTCGACTTCTGTTAAATCAAAAACATCAGTCGTAAATCTTTCTTTTACTATAGATATACTATATATATAATTTGGTTTTTTACAACAATAATAAAAAATTTTCAATAATATTTATTTCAGTTCACAAAAACTTCTTATTAATTTCACAACAAATTACTCATGGGAATATATAATATAAATTGAAAATTTATATATCCACATGCACACTCAATCAAAAATTTTAGGAATTCCGCACGACATTTGTGACACTTTGTGCTCTTTTGTGCTATTGACAGCTGCTAAAGTATGCTGGCCCACAAAATGCTGCTAGGTAAATTAGACGTAAACAGTTGTTCGGCTCATAGGTTTGCCTACGAATAATACTTTCTGGCCCATCCTCAAATGTCTCGTTGTGTGACAAATTCCTGACCAGGCGCAGACATCTCTTTCATTGGGGAGCCCATCAATGGGAAACGCTGTGTCCTGGCATCGTTTTTTCCATTAAATTAACACGCTCGAAGTGCCGCTCATGTGTGTGTGTCTCTCCATCTGTGTGTGTGTGAGCTGGCTGTACGTGTGTGGGTGAGGGAGTGAGGGGGAGTTGTACACTTACATTGTGCAAACTTTTCTAATTTAAACCGGCAGTTTCAGTCAATTGCCACAGCTTACCGCTTTCGACATGAGTTTTACTTTTTTAGTACCTTCGGGTGTGCGACGGATGCGATGTTGGCGCATTTCAGACGGAGATGGAGAGTTGGAGCAATTGGGGAAGTAGAGAAATGGAGAAGGGGAGAAATGGGGAGACAGAGAAATTTCCAATACATTAAAAGTTGTGTGAATACACTTGGCAGAATCCATTATAACCCAGCCAAACTGAGTTGAACTGAACAGAACAGAACAGACATGAAAGCCAGGCCATAAATCTAATAAATACGTGTGTTTCTCACCCCTTTTACTTTCCCCCCTTTCCCCCCTTTCACTCACTTTCCCCCCTTTCACTCACTTTCCCCCTGTTCATTCCCGCACTTCCGGTTCCGTTTGCCGCCCTGTGCAATAACTTGTGAAATATGTAATCAATCAAGATGGAACAGTCGTCGAGGCAGCCAAACTATGTGGCAAGTATGCGTCTGACTGCAGTTTTGCGGAAGGTTCGGAGGGGGAAAGAAAGTTCATGGGGCGGTCGGGTCGATTAATTCAACTTTCTGCTGCAGACAATGGCATGTGAAAAAGTCAAAAAGTTGAAAGTGCAATTTTGTCGTTATTATTTTACATTTACAACAAAAGATAGCAGCAGGAGCAGTCGAAAAGCCAACCGAACAGGGCGAAAAAAAAAAAAAACGAACGGCAAAATATAAAACGCAAAGTTACTCAACTATTTTATGCGACGGGCGGCACGCTGTGAGTCTGTCTCGCTCACTCATATCGCCATCTCACTTGCCCTAGCACCCACACTATCCCGCAGTGTGTGTAATTGTCAGTTAGTTGGCGCTGTCAGTCCGAATGTTGAAATTAATTTATTTCAATTGAAGTTGAACTTTTGCGGCGTTATTACTTTGCAAACTTTCTCCGAGCTACGCATAATAAACGAGTGTGTGAGCGAGAGGGCGCACAGCTGTGCGAGCGAGACGAGTGCAGCTGCCAGGTGCCGAATGACCTACGCCCAGAAAATAAAGCCACCCACAGCCCACTTTGCATAAATATTTATTTAGCCTTTGCCAAAACAATCAAATTGCAAAATTGCAAGTGTTGCCATCAACGTCAACAGAATATCATCTGCTCTTTGTCCCACTCTCAATTCATTTTTTCTCCATCTCCATCTCCTGCCCTACCATATATATATATATATCTACCTCTTTCTACCCCACAACTCCCCGTCTCTTTCGAATTTTATTTTTGATTTTCTATGCCAATATTCGTTGTCTGCTTTCTTTATTTTTCCCAACTTTCGGACAGACGGGGGAGTATTGAAGGTGAGTTTTCGGAGATTCCAGAGGGTGATATCTCGAGGGGGCGGGTATATATATTACCAAGGGGGCGTGGCACAGGACACGACAGGTGCCGCTGACGTTTGCGCTGATAATTTGTTGCGAGACTTCAGCATTTGCAAGTGGCAGGCCTTGGACGTCATTGATAGTTATTTGATATGCATATTCCAAATGTTCGCTAAAAAATAAATACGAGTAAATGAATACAAGCATGGAAATCAGCAAAAACTTATTGATTGAAAAAACGGCGCTAATGAAGCTGGTAAAAGTCAGGTGGAGTGCGCAGGAAATCAAAATGCCCACAAATTTATTCAACATGTTGTCGTTTTTCCTACAAATTAAACAGAATTATAAATTTTTTAATTGATTGGTAAATTGTTAATTGATTCTCCAATAATTAGAATACTCTTTATTAGATTTCTTGGACTTTTAATATAGCAAAAATACTTTCCGTTTTATTTATGTATTTTGAATTTCTATAAACATTTTTGCCTTCAGGTAACAAATACGTTTGATAACATATTGTTATTGTTTAATTTATATTGACTTTTGAGTATCTCAGTATCAAAGGATTATACTTTGCAAAAAGGGAATCAAAAAATAAACATTAAAAATATCTATTCGTTTTTATTTCCCCCTACTGCCTGTTTTCTTCTCCAGTTTTCCATTCAATTTCGAAAAGAATGTACATATTCACGCAAACCTCTGCTCTAAGTTTTCTTAAAGTGTGCCATGGAAATTTTTGCCAGAGCTTATGAACTTCCCAACTGTTATTGGTTTGGTTGTTGTTTCCGTTGTTGTTGTAATGCTGCCTTTTAAACTCGAATCAAAAATCAAAATCCGCACCAGCTACAAATGTTAAATCCGCAAATAATTGACAAAGTTTAGGCATAAACGTGGCTCTGTCTCTGCGAAATTGCTGAGGGTGTGGAACTTGTGGGCGAGGCGCTGGAAAATTGTGGGAATGAGGCTGAGGATTGGTTGGTTGGTTGGTGGGTGGGTCGGCTAACAAGAATGCTGTGTGCGGGCCAACTTCAAAATATGTTGGCCACAAATGGCAAAAGTTTGACAGGTAAACGGAATTCGGATAGAATATCTATGTACACGGTGGACTCTCGTGTGTGTGTTTGTGTATGGGGAAAATCCAGGGGTATTCTGCAATCCCTTTACCAACTGCGGAAACCGCTGAAACAGCTGCGACCATCGAATTTATGGATTTGGATTTGGATTTGGATTTTCGGCAGGGTAGAGTACTTCAAAAATGTAGCTATACTTTGTCTATCTATGCGGTTCTAGTTGAGCGGGCGGCCATTTATGTTTAATGAGATACTTTTTAACAGCCTCATAAATGGCTATGATAACCACTTAATGTCGAAAGCAACGAAAGCCGAGTGAAAACAATTTACATATTAAACTTGCGCCGCCGAGTTGCCAGCCTGTTATCCTCGTCGCACATCCTGCCTCTTGCCTCTCTTCCCTCTCTTTCGCTCGCCCTGTTGCCGTCTCTTTCGTTCGGCGTGCGAAATATGTTCGCCTGCGGCGCATTCACTTTAATTTGATTAAATTTTGAACATTTTCACGTAAAAGTTGCTCCTTTGGCTCGGCCGTCGACGGAGGCTTCAGTGCATCGCTTTTCCCGCTTTTCTCGCTTTTCCGTGCTCTCTCATCTGTGCTGGATGGATTGGATGGTCCGGTCTATCCTGTGCCGTTCTGCTCGGATCGGATCGGTGGCTCTTGGTCTGGCCTGGTCTGGTTTGGTCTCGTTACGCTCGTTTCGGTTTGGCTTGGTTTGGTTTGGTTTGGTTTGCTTGGGCTCGGTCTTTTCGGTCGGACCCCCTGGTGTCTCGAAAAAGCTGATACCACCTTCACGCTCAGCTGTTGTCTGCCTGAATTTATCCCTCTGTGTGGCAGATAAATAGTTTGTGTACCCTGTAAAAGCAGATGAGTTATAACAGGCAGAATTCTACGAAACAAAACAATACGTACTTCAAATAAATTGCATAAATACAAATATGTTTCATAGATGACTAAAACATTTTTTTAAGTTTTATATATGGAGATTTTACTCTATAAAACATTTAAAGATTTTTTAAATCAAGTACGTTAAAACGCTCAAATCATTAAAAGTTGCAGTTAGGTAGATATAATGCCTTATTGTTTAACATCGTCTGATATACTGTTTAATAGTTCACATATCTATGATTAATTTAAATACCTTGTTTTATTAAAGAATGCCTTATTATACTTATTGCCTGATACAATTTGGCATAGCTTTTTTACATGCTTTCCACATTAAATATTTTAATACCTATTTAAAAATGATTACTCACCTTTTATATGTTAAAGCTCCCCACGGGTCATCAAATAATCCTGACTTCTTTCACGCTCTTCTTGCTTATTTCATTTGAGTATTTTGTAGTTTCTGTTTTTTATAATAAATAGTTGTTTAAACTTTCGCCCACTCGGGCCCCGCTGCACCTCACCGCCCCCTCCTTTCACCCACTTGCCACTGGGTTGCAACACCACCACCCAAAAAGAGATGTTTCCCACCAATGCGGTGGGCTCTTGTTGCCGCTGTTTTTGTTGCGATTTGCTGTTTTTGTTGCTACTGCTTTTGCTGTTTTTGTTGCTGTTGCTGCTGCTGCTGTCCGGCTCTTCAACTATTTTTTATGCAATCTGCTGTGGCTCTGCGAAATACCCCCCTTCACACATCGAAAGGCCCCCAGTTGCATTGTTTTGTTTCGGGGCGCTTCCTTTTGTTTCTCGCATCCACTTTTTGCTGTGTTTTTATTTTTTGTCTGTTTGCCATTTCCTTCTCTGGTAGCCGCACATAGTTATGGCCACGATTTTGGCTTTCGGTTATGTGCACTGAGATTTTCCTTGGCCTTGTTTTTCTCCCAGCCAGGCAATTGTTTTCCCTGCCCGCTCGCCTCCGCTTTATCCTCTTCTCCATTGTTGCACAGGTTGCCGATGTCTGAAATTTTTGGGGGGGAGAGCGAGATGGAGTTGAGAATTCTCCAAATTAATTCGCATCATTTAAATCACAGTGAGTCCTGGGAGTTGTGAGGGTTTTGGATGTGGGTGTGGAGGCTTTAACATTGGAACACTTCTGTGGCAGTTGGGGTTAAATCGAACCGAGAAAAAGGAGGTGAAAGATTCGGGCTGGTTAAATTATGGCCCACATTGAGCCGGGGCAAACGAACAGATAAACAATAAGTAACTGTGAATTATGGTGGCCATTACTTTTGTCTTTTTCCCTTGGCTCCTTGGTCCTTTTGTGTTGTTTATGGCAGGACAATAATTAGGACAAAACAGCGGGGTCCTTGGAACGTGTGAACTTTTCCCTTCGCCTCGTTGGCGCTGCAAAATTGGTTAATTAGGGGGCCACTCAATTTCCCTTTCCCCGCCGCCGCCGCCGAAAAGTATTTCATCCTCAACAGTTGGCAAATCGAATGGGATTCACCTCGATGTCCTTCGCTCCCCTCGCTGTCTGCGTAAATTGCTTATGAAATTGACATCGAATCCTCGCCCGTTTGCCGGAAATGGAAACAGCGGTAATGACGAGGCTCATACAGACACACACACACTCACGCACAACCCTCTAATGCACACCAATATACGCACACCGCTTGACACACACACACACACACACCCGAAAACGTTGGCAGTATAACCCACATAATTGGCAAATCACACACATTGATTTCGCCGTGTGCTGGCGTCCTCGTCATCATCCTTATTGCCGCTGTCCTTGTTTTTGTTGTTGTTTGCTGGTTCAATCGCTCACTGCACCCCGCCCACTTCCCACCCACTCCCCAGGCACCCGAACTCCACCCCCGACCACCCACCACATCCGACATCTGCCTAAACAAGACGAGCGATGTGGGGAGCGGGCAACTACACCGGAAAACATGGCTATTAATGCAGAGGAATGTTTTCGGGGAAATGTGATTGTTGATTTAGCAGTGTAAATTCAACATTTTAAACTTAGGAAACTAATATAATTTTTCAGGCCACAATCTGCATTAATACATAAAAATCTTAGAATAACTGTATCTAAAAAAATGTTAATTAGGTTTACATATTTACAGGTTTTTTAGGTTTCTAGTTTTTTGCGGAATTCTGTATACGTACTAAAAAGCTTCAAAGGAATTCTGAGGTTATTAAAGATGATTTAAGCACTATTTCCACAAAAAAATATTTTTATTTAAATTATCCTTTTTTTTAAAATAAATTTAAAAGCTTTTACAAAATCAATTTAACATGCAATTCTGTTTTTGCAATCAATCCGAAATCATGCAATTCTAGCAAAGCATTGTGCAACTGTCGGGAATTTATGGGTAACACGTTTAGATATATAGCATAGAATTTAAAGAGGTTTTTTATTGATATATTTTACTCAGTTTCCCTCAGTGCAGCGAGCTTGAGAGCGCCAGCAGAAAATATGGCGTATACGTAATTTAAAGGCAACGATACGATACCCAAAACTCCAACTCAGCCAGAGGCGGCAGAAGGTGTGTTTGTTGTGCGCGGTGTGTTTGTCCTTGCAATAACTTGTGTGTATGTGAGTGTGTGTGTGTGTGTGGGAGGGGAGTGTGTCATATAGGGCATCATTAATAACATCGAGGCGCAGAACAGGCCAAGACAACATCATTAGATCGGAGCCAGAGCTGCGACTTTGTCTACGGCTTTGGCCTTAATTTTCATTGTTTGGCGCTGGCATTGGCATTTCCCAGCCAGCTTGATCTTAAATAATTAGGCAGGCTCGGTGTCTCCGGCATATACAACCCATCAACCATCCGCATCAACCATCCGCACCATCATCCTCATCATCGTCATTGTGAATGGTGGGTGGTGGGTGGTGGGTGGTTGATGGTGGGTTGTATATGAAAAAAAAAAAAACACATTTCTCCATTGCTGTAATTTATAACGTTCACTTGTCATTAACAGCCATTTTAATCGTCTAGCGGGCAGGCACATACGTATACAAGCCCATAATGTGTATAATATGTATTCCCGTATCCTGTGCGCTTGTTGCGGCATTTAAAGCGTGAAAATATTAATTTATGAGCCTTTTAAATGAGCCCCCGTATTGGGGAGCTGCGCAACAAATTGGCAATGAAAGTGGGGCCTTAACGGAAAAGCGGGAAAGCAATGAGATTTATATGAGAGTAAATACTGCGTAAATACCAAATGAAAACCGGTGTAAATACTAAGCGGCCGGATAAATGCATTGATTGAGGGCACGCTCAAACGGATTTCGTTCGTGGGAAATCTATTAAACACAACCGATCGGTGGCCCAAAAACTAGTAGTGTACTTAACGGCTGGGGCAGAAATTCACGTTGGCCCGCGATGCCTTTGAAAGCGGGAAACCCGAAATCTATTTATGCCCCAGCTTAAGCCCATAAACCACAGCCAAAATCCAGTGGTCGTCGCATTTAAGTGTCTTGGAGGGTTTCTGGGGGGTAATAGTGCCAAAGGGGGTGGTTTCGGGTGGTTCTGGGTGGATCCGGCTGGTTTTCGGGTGGTGGGAGTCTGCTGAACAGCAGCGGAGGAACCACAGAGCAAATTCGCCAGCCTTAATCTGCACTTGGTGTGCGTATCTTAATAAACTATTAAATCAAACGCAAGCCTCACTGCACGCAACCATCAGAATTCCCTTTACATATTTATTGGGGAGTGTTTAGTATTTTGAAGCTCCTTCCCTTTAAAGCACTCGAATTCCCGCATTTAATATTTCAGAGGGATTTTATTTTCTTCTCTGTGCTCCTTGCACACAACTTCTGCTATGGCAAATAAATAAATGAGTTATATGCGCGTTCACATTCACATTTTGGGGGGATTTATCCTTATCCTTCCCCACCCACTTTTCTGCCTTTGTCCGGTTGGCCACTCCGTTGTTTTTGTTCTGGCTCACAGGAAACCGATAGGACATGGCGATTAAGGATATACCAGGAAGCCAAGCCGGACCGGGCCGAAAGCGTTTTCCATTTCAATTGAACGGTCACCGGAACGGGGAATATTTTGCTGATGAATGAAACAGATCTTAAGCGAGGTATTGTTGCATTTTTCTGTTGTTTTAAGTTCTTACTTTAACTTTTTGCTGAACACAACCAATATTGAAAGGGCTCTTAATTACCTGGACTGGATAAATAAACAAACTTAAAATGGGATGGGTAACTGAAACCAATATGTTGTTTTTGTGATATGCTACATATCTTCATAACATCTTTAATATTTTAAATATTTTTATTTTGTTGATTCAAGTCCCTTGAGTTCGGCTTAGTAGAAAATCTTCTTGACCGGTGAGGGGTTATACTTTCCACCACAAGTTCTTTATTGGTGAAAACATTTCGAGCAAGCTTTCCTACATGTGGCTTAAAGACTGCAGATCTCAATCAAAGCAATTGAATTAAATTCCCAGGCACAAGGGTGCTGGTGGTGAATACGGTTTTGTGTGGATCTCCGGCGATCTGCTGTTGGCCACAAGGTGCCGCTGCCCTTGGGCGACTCGAGCCAGATAGCCGGATATATAGAATATATATTCTCGTTCTCCCCAGCATCCTTGGCTGACTCGGCTGTCGTTATTATTTATGTTTTGTTATCCGTTGACCAGAGCGTTGGCGCTTGTTTTTTCCACACTCGCCAGCGCACACACACACACACTCACACACACACAAATACACATTCGCATGGCTCACCTATTTTACGATAGAATGAATATCTCGTGCTCTCCTGTTTTCAGTTCCCTCTGCGATGTGTTGTAGTTTTTGCCACAGTATTTTTCTCTAAGCTTGTGGCGATGAGTGTGTAAGTGTGTGTGTTGGCCTGCTTTTCCCCTGGCTTTCCCACCGCCTTTCCTCCTTTTCGGCTGTTCCTATGGTTCTATGTACTTCCGTTTTGTAGTGAAAAGAGCTTTGCGTGTTGCGG